AAATATAAAAGTTAGGTGCTTTATTTGAATTCTTACAATATATTAAAGCAATTTTCTTTCACAATAAACGGTAATTTTAATTAATAGGTGTAGATCCATGAAATTCTTATGATTAGTGCCAGTATGAACGCTTAAGAACTAACGTGAGTAATTTATCCAAGGATAATATACGTATTTGCATTATGAAAGCCGGTACGAAGAATAGGATAGTTTACATACATCTTCAGATATTTAAAGTGTAGAAGCAGATAAATGGTATTCTAATTTATTTCAAAGAAAAAAAATTACTTCTAGATCTTTCTTTAGACAAGATGAATCATGTAGAGGATTCATAATTGATATAAACTTGTAACTTGAACTTCATAGTTGTTTCTTACTGTTGTTATTGGTATGGTGTAATTCAACTTGCTAAAAATAATGATTCACTTGATGCTACCTAGTGACACATTTAGTCACTTCTGAAAACTGTATAAACTGTTCAAAATATATGTTCTTCAAGTTTAATTTGAAAAAGAAAAAGATAGGATTTTATCATTCGATTGTATCAGTTGACTTTAATATGATTGAATAATATACATTTAAAGAAAGAACCTTATAATTACATAAAGAATAATAGTCACATCCCTTATAAGATCAAATGCAACTATATGACTACTTTGGTATATGGGATATATGAACACTGGACATATATGTTTATTCAAACTTACTTCGACTTTCGCCATGGAAATTCCGGCTTTTACTAAACATGTAGTCAATTCTTGTCGACTGACAACACCATCTCCATTATTATCAAGCTCAGTAAAAAGCTCCATTAATTCTTCAGAACTCAAACATCGAGGCATTACTGATAGAATATACGATAAGTGGCTAGATATTTTCTGACCTTTGAAAAAATTAAATATTTAACACAACTTAAGAACTAAAATAACTTCATTTTGAAAATTTAACAAAAAAATAATCAAATTTACTGTACAATCACTCATAAATTCAACCACATTTTATGTATCAGAAGGTGTTTTGTGGAGATTTTAGTAATTTCAATAGTTGAGATCATGAGTCAATTGAAGCTAAACCATCATGGAAAATCTGGAAGCACTGAACGGCCGTTTCGTTTTATTGTGGGGCTCCTCAGCAGTGCGCATTTACGATCCCGCTCGAGGGGTTCGAACTCAGGACATTTTTTGTTCTGTTAAATATACAACATTGTTTCACCTTTCAAATTAAGTGATTTAGTCAAAATTCAGTGTAAAACTGGTTTGCAAAACAAAAAGAGTAAACGTTTCCACTCAGTTCATTTAAATTAATTATAGATGATTAATTTATAATTTAATATTGAGAATAACGTTTTGCAGGTTTTCTTCCAAAAATAATATTCTTATTGGAAGAACACATTAACGAAATAATATATGACAATGAATTAACAAAAGTTATGGTGTCAAGTGTTAGAATATCATTATTCAACGTTAACTTCTTTTTTTAGCTGACCAAACTAAGTCACTTCAGATGATTTGAGTTAAATTTTTGAAATGATAAATTGGAGAACATTCACTGGTCTGAGCTTTATCCAGTTAGTTTAATTTTTTATAAAGAGGTTTTATCGGGAAAATTATTAACTATCCCAGAAGTGAAATTCGAAAAGATTTTCCTAAGAAAAAGTAATCCAAAGAATGACTGTTAATACTGAATAAGATTAAAACGTGATTCACATTGTATAAGATTATATTGTAATTTTTAACTGGATTTCACTTATTTTACTTAAAATATGGTGTCCATTTATGGTGAATTATAAGCTAAACCACTAGAAAGTGATGAATTACCCCACGCGGATTAACTAAAGGCCCCTTTCTATCTGAAGTGAGAGCTGGTTACGGTACCTAAAATACTGATAACATTCAGCTGAGAAAACTTAACGTTATCTATCTTATTTAAATATCATGATGTCATAGCATATGAGGTTACAAAATAAATCATAACATAAGTAGTAAAGCTCTGAAACAGAGATCATAGTATGGTAGTTGTCGCCTACAAATAAAAGAAAAATTGCAACTCAAAAACACAATTGTTTATCAATATCAACCGTGATGAGTTTTAATTTTACTAAGGTGTCTTCGGGATAAATAAGTTATAAACAAACATGATAGGTTGGTTAGATTTGACAAACAACAAAATTTTGAAGAACAACATCCCCAAATAACTCTAAATTACTTAAACATGGTTGTGTATGCTCAGTTATCGGATTACCAGTGAACATATTGTCAACTTTAAAATATCGTATATCCGTTAATGGTGTTAGGTTAGACCACAAACGTCTAAGCTATTCAACTCCATTTTAATGATAAGATATGAGGTTTAGTTTAAGCGAATTTTAATTATATTTCAATGATTTGGTGAAATGTGAGATACCTAGATTCTATGAGTTCAAAGTTATGATGATAAGATGGTTGAAAATAAATAATCCGATTGGCTTGTGGCTATCTTGATATTTGGAATGATTAGAGCATAGGAGGTAAATTAAAATCAATTATTCAGTTTTCCTATGTGGTATGTTCATGAACAAATTAAATGAAAACAATGTTTCATAATGATAAACAATGAAACACTGCTATGATCAGTTCACTAAAATCACAAACTATGAATAAACATTTGGTAGTTTCAGAAATCTATTTGAGTGAAAATATTATAACTATATTCAAGTCACGAAAATGGTATATTGCCTACACCTACTGACGAAAACGTAGATGAGTTAATAATCAACTTACCAAGAAATCATAAAAAAAATAACTGTGATTTTAAAACCCTTTTTGATAACAATTAATAGCCTTTTATCAATACAAATTACTGAAAATAGAGTCTCAGCTTTCTATCTTAGAAGCAAGAGCAGTTATTTGTCAAGTAAGCTGTCTAAAAAGCCACCAATCATGTGATTCTTAGGCTGACCTTGAAGTGTTAAAAACTCAAATGAGTGGTTAAAGCTCAGTGGCCTTAGCATGCAAGCAATATTTAATTTTAGTCATCATAATAGTAAAAATCTGTGTATTTAATTGCGTAGGTGGGTATCTTCAACTTGATTACTCTGTAAATATCGAAAGTACTTCTCTTGAAATGATTTCCAAATAAAAACTCAAACAGATATCTAAGTACAACTAATAGACTATGAATAACTAAAAGACATTTCTTAAAGCTTACAGTTATAAGCTAGACTAATACTCTTAATACACAGTCGTATATGGTTAATAAAAAATTACTTCAAAAATAAGTCGACGACTCTAATCGATAATGCTCTCATTGATGTACATATAGATTTGTACACACATTTGATAATTAATAAGGAAAACGTCACATTTACGAAATTACAGCAAAATCTCTTACTACATGTTATACTGAACGTAATTCATTGCAAATTTAATACAAGAATATCATAACTGGAATAAATATCATATTGAAGTAAATCAGTGTTATACTGAATAACACAATACATTGAAAACGAAACAAATCATAAACTGAATGCTTATTAAAAATTAAAGTAATATTGAGCAAGAACCACAATAAGTTAGAAATGTAATTTTACATTTTTTACCCATCATATCAGATTAATAATGATAAATCAGTATTTTCAATGGGATATTTTAAATCATCGGTACTAATTAATTAATTAACCAATCGATTAAGGTTTACACTAACGAGTTTGTAAATTTTGTGGTCTTGTGGGTAGTGTGGATCACTTACTAAATAATACATTGAAAACCATAGAAGAAAAGTGTAAAACAATTTAGATAGCAGACGTTCGTTACAAAAGATGAGGGAGTTAAGCAATTACACATCAAATCACCGATATAAATTCGGATTCATGATTCTTAACTTCATTACGTATCAGTTTTCACAATTCCGGTTTGCAGATAGATTTGTTGCTTATACATTTAGACCATATTGTCACTGAGTATAACTTATAGGTACTTAACCTAAACCAATTTTGAAATTTGTAAATAGATTTTAGAATATTTAGTAAATGTTTCTTAGGTTTTGGCAGAAACTATAACACGTCCAACTGTTAAATGTCATATGAATTTTGCGTGTGATGTAAATTGCCTTACCGGTTGGCTTATATTACTTACACTCCTTATCGTAAAACTGTGTCTGTCACTCATAATATATTATTGTCAATCATATGGTATTTAACATTTGATAGATAAAAAAAATTAACAATATCCGTCAAAAGAAATTACTTCATTTATTACCGTTAAATCTTGCATTTTAGACTAGACATTCGAACGAAGATTTAATTTTACTCAGACTTGAATTATGCAATAAGGTTATGCATATATGTTTGAAATAGACAGTGGTAATCATTTTGTTAAATAAATCCATCGGAATATATATATATATATATATATATATGCAAAAGAGTAGTGCTAGAGATTGTCACTCTCAATGAATAAATCGTTTCCTTATAAGAAATGCTAAAAGAAACAAGCATACTTAGACGTCATTCCGCACGTTAACCATTCTTAATCACTGAATGTACTATAACCAATATAATTTAGTTGATGGCAATTAAAAATATGCTCCCTATTTATTGAGGAAGTCATAGTACTTAAATCTGTTAGCAGTCTTATCACATACTCAAATGTTTTCAGTGACTTTTGGGTACAAACAGAACCACTTGTTGAAGTAACCTATATTTTCATTTTCTGAGTCTATGTAACATGTAACATATCCCAAAATAGTTACTTTCAGACTAGAACTACCTTCTGTCATAAGACATTTTGATAGAGAAATACTGTTTTGAGATAATTATTCTTCAGTAAAACTTTTTTATCAGTTTATTACTTCGTCTTCATTTCTAAACGAACTAATACAGTGAGATAACAATAGATTGTGTAAATATAGAAACTTATCGAAAGCATTGCTGATTGGTTATGAAATGTTGATACTGATAGTATGTTTTACATACGTTGTAAATCAATCAAGTTTTTCTATTGAGAAATCAATTATATTTCTATAAATTATAACATGTCATTACAAATAAAAACACCTTACAATCTTAAAAATCTTTGTTTATCAAAAAATATTACATTCTCACCATTTGATTGGGTGTTCATATTACAAACATCACACTTTTAAGAGTTGCCAACGCCATATATTGTAAGCATAAACTTTTTAAACGAACGAGTGTAAAAAAACAATGAATTAAATTATACTTCCTTTCACGTTTATAGTAATTGGCTGACTTGAACTAGAATATTTTTCAAATACTATTATCAGATACCTTTAAGTGGATTTTAATATAAACAATCAGTTTGAATATATGGCATTGAAACTTAACACAATGGATAGAAGAGCATTGATCGAAAAATTCCATCAAATGGATAAAAATTGTGATGGGGTTTTAACGCCATCTGAAATTCGACTTTGCGTTCAACGATCCGGTCTACCCCCATCAAAAGTTGATGTAAGTTTTCATTAGAATTAATTAATAATAATTGTAGCTTATTAATAATTTAGAAATAAGTAACTCATCAGTTATTTATATTTTTCATCATGACCATATATGATTTCATAACTATACCGATCTGTCTGATAGTCGCTTATTTGCATTTGAATATGAAATGTATTAACACTGGCAACTTTCTTAATTTTAGCTCATGTAAGATGCCATTCATTTTTTTATTTTACAGACCTTTCAGTATACCTGTAAAGTCATTTTCTATATGTTAGTGATTTCATTTTTGTTTTCCTAAGGTATGGTTTCGTGTTCATGAAAACTTCCTCTCTTATCTGTCGGGTTCCATGAATAAGAAGAAATTATAACATGAATAATCAGATTTACAACTCGAAAGGGCATACTGACGAAAAGGACTCAGGATTAGAGATATAAGAAACAAAGGATCAGAGGAAGAGGTATATGACGAAATTTATAATATTTAACACGAATGTTATGAGTTTCTATTTGGTAGTGATCAAAAGTAATATCAGTAATTCTCGGGAGAAATTGGAAATAAAGAATATTTAAAGAACATGGTAAGGAATAAAGATCAATGTACACGTTAAGAATAAATGTATTTGTGCAGCCACACCGATTTCGATTAATTTAATTAAACTATCTTAATAATTGGCTACTGTTAATAATCTAATCTAATAGTTGAATTCGTGAGTCCATTTAAGCTAGACCATCATGGAAAATCTGGAAGCACTGGAAGGCCGTTTCTTCCTAGTATGAGACTCCTCAGCAGTGCGCATCCACGATCTCGTACAGCTGTCCAGTGCTTCCAGGTTTTCCATGATGATCTAGCTTAGATCGACTCAGGAATTCAACTATTAAAATTACCACAATTTCCACAAACCTCTATTCTGATATTAATTTAATTACTATATCAAAGTAATCAATAAACTACAATCATGAACCGAACTCGTTAACGTTTACTACAATTATTTAAGACTAACATGTGTTTTAAACATTTTAGAATGAACGTCTGCTTAATTATTTTATGTTACCTTTATATGACTACACCTGACTCCAAACACTTTCTAATTACTTCCTAATTTACGGATATTCATTCTATGATATGAGTGATCGGAAGCTGTAACTTCACATTATCATATGACTTCAGCTTACAAAATACATAATCATGAATTATACATATACTGGAAATTTTGATTATGGTTTAACATTTCCAGCTGTTGTACATTCAACAATATTGTATTAGATAGCAATGACAACTTCTTTTAAGATTGTGTGTGTAAATATCAATATATAATATTTCGAAATATTATTTTCAGTATATACAAAAATTAGCTATTGCATTTTTAAAAATAGTAAAATGAACTTTTAAGAAACAAAAGATAGATAAGTATCAGTAGACAAAAATTAATCGTCCTAATCGTTTTTTTTATTCACCTTCATGAATCATGTTTATCTTTTGTCGAGCGGTAGATAATCGTTGATATGTATGACATGATATCAAAAATACTTACACACCCAATATCATGGATTGGTTGAAGTCAGATATTAACACCATTAGATGCCAGCTTAGTGATCTAAAAGTTTAGAGTTCACGAGAGAGAATTCCCTGAGTTCGAGTTCCACCTGTGGGAACGTAGAAGTCCACCGTTTAATAGTCCCATAGTAGGATGAAAAGACAGTCCAGTTCTTCCAGGTTTTCTACAGTAGTCTAACATTGATCGATTCATGATTTTAATAAAAACTCGACAATCTCCACAAACCTTTACTACTAAAAATACATTATGTTTAGAGTTAGATTTTAAAAAAATAAACGGAGAATTCTGAACCAAAAATGAATAAAATTTAGTTCATTTGAATTTACATGTTAAACAAAAAAATATTTTTGATTGAGATCATAAAGCGACTGATGTTAGACCACCATTGAAAACCTGGAAGCACTGGACGGAGTTCTGGTGAGAAGCCGTGACTAGTGGAGCTAATCCGTGTCGAGTGGAAACAGGTGTCTACCTCAGTACAATGGAAGATGGTCGCGCGACTTCGCGGATTGTTTGAGGTTAGACATTACCATCATTGGATGCCAGCTCAGTGGTCCAGTAGCTTAAGCATTCGCGCGCGAGGCTGAAGGGCCTGGGTTCGAATCCCGCAAGCGGGATCATGGATGCGCACTGCTGAGGAGTCCCATACTAGGACGAAACGGCCTTCCAGTGCTTCCAGGTTTTCAATGGTGGTCTAAGTGATTTAAGACCACGTGCACTATCGTGCGCATGGTTGTATGCAATTTTGAGGGAGCTGAATGCTACTGACCTCGTGTACTTCAAGAAGCATCAGTCCCCTTATGATCAAAGGTGTACCGTGATGATGTACACCAACTAACAAGAAACTTAAATACAGGGTTTCCTTTTATTTGTATGTATCCACCTTACGTTTCTTGAGTGTTTCATGAAGTAAATTTCTATTTATGTTCACTCTAGGAAAGTTACTTCAAAATAGATTTTTTTAATTAAAAGAAGTAAACAAACAAGTAGATATAGCAACTTTTTAGGACAATTACCGAAAACTAGCAATACATTACTTAAAGTTCAAGCAAATATTTATTAATTTACAACTCGGTGATCTGTGAAAAGACCTTAAGGATTATTATTTAATTAAATATTTTTACATTATTAATTATTTCTGACTAGATTTACGCCAAAAATATCTTTTTCTTATAGTAACTATAAACTCTGAGTTAATCAACGTTTCATATCATATTATTCCAGTAAAAACATAACATGGTAATATGTTATTGGGGTCATCATTTATAATATAACTAATGTTGTGAGATAGCAACTTATTGACGACAGTGGTGGATATATCACTCGATTTCGTGAATTATTTGAAGTTAGACATTAACACTGTTAGATGCCGGTCGACTGAGTGGTCTAGGAGTTAAGCGTTCGTTCACGAGACCGATAGTTCCTGGGTTCGAATCTCTCAAGACGGGATCGTGAATGTACACTGCTGAGAAGTCCCAAAGTAGGATGAGACAGCCGTCCAGTGCTTTCAGGTTTTCCATGATGACCTAGCTTCAATTGATTCATAATCTCAACTATTGAAATCACTATAATATCCACAAAAACCCCCTTCTTGTATTAATGTTTTATTCTTAAGTTCTTTTTACCGTAAATCAAAACTTTCTTTTTAAAACTTATGATTACGTATAAAAGATTCACAAGTTATGCTATGAACTCACCATATTATCAACGTGACAATTTTTCGCCTTTTTTTTTAAAAAAAAAAAACCCCAGTTGTTTTTATGTCTTTTTTTGTAAGGCATATGTATACAATGTTTTTCATAATGTATTGAATGCCTGATACTTTATAGTTAAGTTAAAAATTCAATTGAAGTCATAAAATATAATCACATAAGAATAAATCTCATTTGATTTTTAAATTAACCATCTTCATCATCATTATTTTTTTTCTCAAGGAATTTCTACGTTTATTTGATTTAAGCGGTGATAATCTGATTACACTTGAAGAATATATTTGTGCGCTTGGTTTACAACCTCCACCACCAAAAGAGTAAGTTTATTTTATACGTATTAAATGGTAAACACTAACAATAATAATAATAAACAGAATCACATTTAATCCTTATAAAAATATTCTTTCTCTTTGAATTAACACTCTGGTCCTTAAGTTTTTTTAAAAAAAACGTGTTATGCATATTGCACACAATTCATTTTGTAACTTTAGTTTTTTTTTACATGTTATGTAGCTGAATGTTGTCAAGTAATGCATGTATATATGATCTATATGTGAACTACATTAAGACTTGTTTTCGTCGACATTTTCATTTAAATAATTCACTGATTAATTAAATATTAGTTTGTATTATTACGTTGTATTACTTAATTTCCATTAAACAATCAAACATTGAAATTGAGTTAGTTTCTCATCAGTTAAATGAGATTCATTTTGTATTGTTCGTTTGAATCTTCCCATTAATGTTTAGGACTGCAAATGATCAGTCTTTTATTGGCATATGTATATCCTGTTCAAATTGACTTGATAGTACCTTACGTAGCAAGCATTATAAGCAAAGATAGATGGTGGCTAGCAGTAGAATCCAGGAAGTGCGTTCTTTCACTGTTGGCTAAGCATTTGACTAAGGTTCTCTCATATTGTAATGAAACAAAACTAAAAAAGTGTGTAAAAATTACACATCAAATGATATCGTTAATTAATTGTCCACCTTCAAATTTCTAATACTGCTAATAAAAATAAAATTTATCTTTTATGCTTTTATACTTCCTTGTAAAGTGGTTTTAAAAGTTCAAATAGTCATTAGTGAACTGAGTTGTTTGGTGAATCGATCATATTCAAAACTGAGTGATAAGATGAATTAGTTTTCTGAACTTCAGACAGGTCATAACGTCTGAGTGTTGCCTTACCCATGAGTTTAATTCTTATGTATAAGTACTAGGAGGTTGTTGTTTGTTTCAATCTATCTGATGATTGTGTTAATCGAATATTGCAGTTCAGTATTAACATTACTTTTTTTTAAACTTCATCTGCAGGCCTTTATTTAATTGTGACATCTTAAACAAAAATTGACCTTGTTTAAGATGAAATATTTACTGTCTTATTGTAAGGTTTAATACTTACATCTGCAGAATGAGTAAACAAACTAGATGCATTTCATTGATTTGTTCATTCTTCATTTGCGAATATAAAACATTGATGATGAGGATGTCAAACATCACGCTGAAGTTTTAAAAAAATATGCTTTTGTATACATGACATGGTCTTAATCTACATCAGGTGATCATTCACAGCTTTCATAAAAATGATAAGATCTAATTTCGCCTTGATTTGACTGAATTTCAGGTTCATATTTAATACTATTCATTATAATTTGTATAGATTAATAATAATGTTAATCTGATAATTGTACTACTAATAGAATAAAATTACATATCATACATTTGTCATATAACAGAACTTGGGAAAGTACGTTACTTGGTGAGACTATAATTTATGGATTACCTTTGAGAGACGCTAAAGTGACCTTGACAGTGTCCACCTAATAACTAGGACCAAATGAGGATTATAAACCAACTTGATGAATTAAAATTATGATTTACAGTTGAGGTTTATGGTTAGGAATTAGATTTAGGGTTTTCATCACGAACTAACATCAGCTATAATGCCGAAACTCTATTTCAACAAATGGATGAGCGAATTCAACGCCAAAATATGAAGCCCGTTATCTTATACCTGATTGGTTCGTCGATAAATTATAGTCTCGTCTAATTTAGTTTTAAGTTTTGTATGTCTTTTTCTTCGTAAAAATCTCCCCTTTAACTCATTTTGATATTATTTCTTGTGAACTATTTCAGTACTAAGCATATTATTAATCATTGAGTATACAATTAATACATTTTATATGTTTAACTTCTCTTACTCTTTTTTTCATTTTACATTATAAATTAAATCTAAACATGTAAAGTAGAAGTTTATTAGACAAACTGATCGGAATTTAGTTAATAAACTTTATATTTTAATCCTATTTACATTAGTCAGGTTAGTACATTCAAAGATTTCCACTAGCTTTCATATAGTTTGACTCAAAGTAGAATAGTTGAATTTAAACTAGACAAATGATAAATTATTCAAAGATGATATGCAACTTCAATTCAGTGACATCTATATAACTATTTTTAAAGTTTATTCCTTTTGAGCTTAGTGATTAACCAGATTTACCCTTCCTATATATGAAATAATAAAAATAGACTTAGCTGTTAGTAGTTTATCACAATGATTACCACCTTAAAACTTATCTTTACAAAATGAGGAATTTGGTTAACCCCCTGAAAAGCTGGTTGTCAATTAGAGTATTAAAAAATTTCAGAGACCCATATGTCAATCACTTTTACTCTTTACATCAGAAATATGCTGTTGATCTCTGAATAAAAAATATAGAGAATAATTTAGTTTCTCGTAATATTTAATGAAACAAATAACTTCGTTTCAATCACCAATAGTTTTAGTCAAATAAAGATAGAAGTCAGTGATTTGTTAATTAGACTATTTAATATATAATCTCAATATATACTTTATCAGAAGGGGTTTTGTGGAGATTTTTGTAATTTTGTTGTTGAGATCATGAGTCAATTGAAGCTAAACCACTAGTCAAAACCTGGAAGCACTAAACGGCCGTCTCGTCCTAGTATGGGACTCCTCAGCAGTGCACATCCACATCGAACCTAGGATCTATGAGTCTTGCGCGTGAGTGATTGACCTCTAGACCACTGAGCCGGCATCCAACATTTAAAACTTGATTAATGTCTTTCTAAAAAACGATACTGAGTAATGTATCGTATAAATTTTACAGGTATACTGATTTAAATATTATAACTTAATAATTGTATAAGTTCATTTAGATAAGCTAAGAATTATTTATTTTATAATATAAAGTAGATATAAGGTTATATAGTGAAATTTCATCATTAATAAACCATGATTTAAATTAAGTTGATGAGTTGATTTAAGCTAGGCCACCAATGAAGACCTGAAAGTACTAGACGGTCGTTTCGTCCACAAACCGACCTCCATTCTGATCATGATTTAGGTATTTATCAATTCTTTCTAGTTCTCTTAACGTACTAATGTGTAGTAAAATTTCTATGTTGTGTAATTTGTATAATTACTTCAGTCAATAGAAAAAAATGAGAAGTAATGATATTAAAATTGACTTTACGACTGGCTGGAAAATTTCACAAGACCAGTTTATCAATTGACATTAGTTTGTAATCAAAACTATCTTAAATAAACGTAGATCTCATAAAGTATCAAAGGTAAAAATAGTGGTAATTGTAATAAGACAATATACTGTAACCTATATATATATATATATATATATATATATATATATATATATATATATATATATTGTACAAGCACAACAATAGTAAAGGTACAATGATATAAGTTGTTATTAGTACGGATGGCTTTGTCCGCTAACTAATTTAACAAAAGGGCTTACCAAATTAAATGTAAACAAACTCAATTGTACATGAGTTCCCATAAACTCTTATGTTGTTTTAAAAGTAATGTATTGATGTTTTATCCAATTCATATTGTATATGCTTCAAACCACAAGAAGATTTTCTTCTGTATAATATACAACAATAAGTACACGTATTTATTTTTCTTATTTCATTACAAATATCAGAGTTTAAATTTTCTTAAGTGACAACAAATTTTGATTGAAAACCATAAAATAATTTATATTGTAACTACCATGGTACATTTAAACAAACTATAAACAACATAATTTATATAACAAAATTAATTTTATTTCAAGGTTACAATACAACTGTGAACTCTTGAAAGTTACAGAGATTATGTTTATTAGAAATAAATGCTTAACAAATTTCAATTAATGAAATTTATCTGAATGCTAAGAATATAACAAAACAAAAAACAACTTATAATAAATACAATACATTTACAAAATGAAATTTTAATAGTTGAATTCATGAGTCAATTGAAATTAGACCACTATGAAAAACCCGGAAGCACTCAATGGTCGTTTCGTCCTAGTATATGATTCCTCAGCAGTGTCCATCCACTATCCCACCTTGCTAGATTCGAACCCAGAACCTATCAGTTTCGCACATGACTGCTTAACTAATAGACAATTGATTCGACCGTCATCTAATGGTGTTAATGTCTAACTTCAATCGAAATGGCATTATTAATAATTATGATTGTTTCCTTATATTATATAATATTCTTTAGTCTTAATATAATATTCATATTCTCATTTCCTTATTATAATTTTCTATCTTTCATCCAACATTCAAGTTCAACTTTATTAATTAAAGTATATCAATAATATTTAGTTTTTAATCAAATTATACTATTTATAACTTTAGGCTATATTTACAGCTTATTAGAAGTATTTAATAAATCTTATTATGTATACTTATTTCAATGAAAAGTTGAAAATAAACAAAAGTAAATAAAATGTATGTATTTTTATTGAAGAATTTTAAAGTGTGTAGGAAATATTTTGAAGAAAGAAAAAAATAATGAAAGATTTATATGATTTAAAGATAAAATAAGACAAGAAAAATAACTTGGAAGAAAGATAACAAGGTGAAAATAATTAATAGTTTATTAGGTAATCAGTTTTAAGACCCTCTCAATCTCCATCTCTCACTCCCACTCTCACTCTCTATCTCCATATATATATATATATATATATATATATATATATATATATCACACTTCTAGTATATTATAACGTAAACACAACACTTTACTTACCGCTTATTGCGTGAAAAAATACTCTTTTCAACTGACATCGGTTGAATTACTATCACGTACACCGACGATTGTTCTAATGTTTACTTGAAATGTAATATACTTGACTTAATTTCCTTTATAGAAACTTATTAAAGAAATATCAATATAATAAATTCAGGGAATATTATGATATACAACGTCTAGTTTGTGAATCAATTGAGTTTATAGTATGTATTATCATTCTCATTAATAAAACATTTTCACAT